TTCTCTTTGGAAATGGAAAAGACATAAACCAATCAGCAATTTTCTGAGCCATCCAGTCTCCAAAAAGCTTTTCCTCAGATAGTCGTAATGCTGCATCATGTTCCAATTACCATTTAGTTTCAAAAGATTCTGGCAGTACTCAGACTCAGCCCTGGCTGAAAGGGGGGCAGAGAGATACTTCAAGCTCACGCTGGGAGAAAAAGGTGAGTTTGTCCTTTCTTACCTGAGATTGGGCCTGAAGGGACAGTTTCAATTCTTCATTGTCCATGGATAGCGTGCTGGTTTTGCCACAAGGTACTTTGTGAAGTTCTTCCCAGCACTCTTTAGGCTTGCCCTTGCAAATCATTCCCAGGAGTCTTGAACTTTTCGTCCCGCTCATGGCACATTCATAAAAAGTTCCATTGAGCAGAGCCACAGACAGCCACATCACAGGAGCCACCAATGAGCTCAGAATGATCTGACCGAGGACATAGAAGAAGCGGCAGCTGTGGCCTCTGGGGAAGATTTTCCTGGGATTCACACAGCAGCCTGTGAAGAGTCTCCATGACTTGTTGCTCAGAAAGAGTCCCAGGATTAGTAACACCCAGGCAGGAGCAAAGAGGAACACCAGCCCATAGACCATATTCTCAGAGCTGCAGGGGCACTTAAAAGCTACGACTGAAAAGAGACGCTCACTTCCCACAGTCAGCAGAGCCATGAAACTGTAGCCGATAGCGGTTTTCTGGTTAAGGAAGAATTTTAAAATGCCCCGAAAAGCATCCATGTTGGAGATGCTCAAAGAGGGACAATGCTTTGCCCTTGTTTTCGACCGAGCAGCTGTGGCAGTGGCTGAGGGTGGAGCTCCTTTATTAGAAACAGCAGTCCTCCTTCGCAGACCGAATTCAGCCAGATAAGGAAACAATGTCATTCCCTAGGAATGAATATTTCCCAACAGTGTTCAGATAATGCCTCCTACTGGTGGATATTGGGCCACAATACTGCAGCCTAAATGCTGAGAATTGAGAAAATTCAGAGTGCACGGACTCTATTTTTACATTCTTTCCATGTGGCTTGGATTGAAAATCAGAAAGAAATTCTCACCCGTACAAATAATGGCCTAGGAATTTTCCAGCATGAGGAACCAGCATTAGCAGAAAGGGGTTTCAGATAATTGATTGGGAGCCAAATCAAATCTCCAAACCTAGAATTTCATGATTTTTTTTTTCTCTTGCCACATGACTTAAGATTCAGAAGGCAGAGATTCATTTTATATCTTCTTAAACTGGCTAGAGTTAGAGACTTGAACCAAATTTTAGGATTTGGGGAATCTGAATTTTATATGGAAAAGTTTAGGGAGGGTTTGTTTTGAAGGGTTCTCATCATTTCTTTCCTAGGCTAGTGTAGCAAACTTTTGATTAGTGTCTTGCATTTGACCTCATGCCTTCTCCCACTCACAACCCTAAATCCATCCTCTATGCTGACAAGAAGAGCCCTCTAAAACAGAAATCCAATTCTGCATTAGCCTGTTCATACCTTTGGGGCTCCCCACTGCACACAATTTGTTAGATATAGACCCACCCTGAACCCAGTCATTGTATTTCAAGCCTATGTCAGGTGCCTACTGCATAGAATGTCTTTGCCCCACCTCCCCGCCCCCAACCTTGTCCACCTGGCAAACACTCCCTCAATATTCATGCATTCTGGGTCTAAACATGGTATAAAACACGGAATGGATGCTCACTCAATAATTTGTTCTGCAAATGGCTATTGAACTCCCAGTATGTGCCAGGCACTGTGCTAGACAGGCAGGGCTCAGTTGAATGAATGAATGAGGAACCTCTTAGACATTCTAATTTTAAATAATTTAAGAAAGTTATTTTCATTTCTATCCTACACTGCTCTTGATTTTAAAAATTAAATTAATTAAGGCACTTAAAAAGTGACAAGGTATCAAACTGACAAATTTTCCTGAATAAACTTCAAAGTCTAGGCCCGTGTGTTTTATAAAAAGAAATTGCCCTGGACGAGAAGCCAAGGAACTAAGCTACAATATGGCCTTGGGTGTATCATTTTACTTCTCTGAACACCAATTTACTCATTTGCAAAACTAGGGGTTTAAAAGAAATAGTGTCCAAGATTTCTTCCATTCCTACATTGTAAAATTCTTTAAGCCCTGAAAACAGCGGACTTTTATGAGAAGTTATTCTATTATTCTATTATTCACTACCCCTTTCTTCTTCTCAGAGACTTGTCATCTGTGGTAGACTAGTCCCCAGTTATCCACAAAGTATACCTGAAAACAAGACCCTCAGTGGATACCTGAAACCGCGGGTAGTACCAAACCCTATAAATAACTGTGTTTTTTTGATCAGGTAAAGGAGGGGCTATGAAGTGATTCATGGACAGGTAGCATGGATACAATGGACAAAGGGATGATTCATGTTCTGGGTAGGACAGAGCAGGACAGCGAGAGATGTCATTACGATACTCAGAAGCACAATTTAAAACTTACGAATTGTTAATTTATGCAATTTTCCATTTAATATTTTCAGACCATGTTTGACTGCAGGTAACTGAAACCTTGGATAAAGGGAGACTACTGTAATATGATTTCCTCAACTTCCCAAACCACATTCTTGGGTCTAATCTGTTCATCTGCTCTGACCATTACTTTACCATTGTGGCAAATGTGTCCTGGGTCCCTTCTAATTCAGGATTTAATCCTTTGCTAGGATCAGTGTGACAAATACCATACTGACATATTGATGATTAATAACATTTTAGTGTCGTACCCTCCTAAAGAATATATATCTTAAAAAAAAGTTTTTTGAAAATAGTGCCTTAATGCTGTTTTTTACAAATCATATTGTTTCCACAGAAAACTAGTCCCTTAGGATGTTCCATAAAAATAAAAGGACTCAAGACTTTCACCTGTCATTGGGGTAATAAATTGCAAAGCTAAGTGTGAACCCAGACTCCCTGACTACAGACTCTCTGTGCTTAACCACTGCGCGCAATGCCTGTTAACAGGGTGTTTGGTTTCTCTACTAATAGATATTTGTTCTAGTTCTAGTTCTATCAGATTTTGTTCTCCTCTTTACCAGGTTGCTTTCAAGATGTACTTGGGAATTACGCCCAGTGTGACCTGTAACAATTCAAGCAGAAATGAATTTTCCCTAATTCTAGACAAGAATCCTCTGGTGGAGTTTGTGGAAGAGCTCCCTGCTGGGCGATCTTCTCTGTGCTACTGCAACTTGCTCTGTGGGATTATCAGAGGTGCCCTGGAAATGGTAAAGCACATCATTCATTTTGCCGAGTATATTAGTTATCTGGTGCTGTGTAACAAATTACCCCCAAAATATTACGGCTTCAAACAACAAACATTTATTATTTCACACAGTTTCTGAGGACCAGAAATCTGTGAGCAGCTTAGCTGGTGGTTGTGACTCAGAGTCTTTCATCGCTTCAAAGCAGTCTTTGACTGCTTAATATATATGCAGTCAAGCTCTTGGTTGAGCCTTAGCCTCTGAGAACTTGACTGAGGCTGGAGAACCTACTTCCAAGCTCACTCACACAGCCTCAGTGCCTTGCTGACAGTCAGCTAGAGGCTTCATGAAGGTCCCGGCCACGTAGACATCTTTGTAGCTGTAATCACGGCAAGACAGCTTGTGCTGCCGACACCGGTGCAATGTGGGTGGGGACTGGCTGAGGGCATGAATATCAAGAGGTGGGGATCATTGCAGGCCATTTTGGAGGCTGGCTTCTACACCTGAATTATCCATTGGCTTAATTAAAACAGTTATTAGGATCTGCTCGGTGTCAAACACTGAGCATGCAAAGATGAACAAGATACAGTCGCTGCTCTTAAAGAATCTTTTGTCAAATAGAAAAATCAGATATGTAAAGAAGTATAACTGAGGAATATGGGAGGACCTGAGGCAGGAAAGACTTCCAAGAGAAACTCTGAACTGGCTGTTGAAGGAAAAATAAGATAGGTAAAGGCCTTAAGTAAGGGGAGCAGGGGAAAATATTAATAATATTCCAGGTGGAAGGATTAGCATGTCCAAGGACACAAAAAGAATGTTTCATTCAAGGAACAAGGAACTTGAATTAGTTTAGTATGACTGATATGTAGATTGTCACAAGAAAGGGGATTTAAATAGTCTTTATAGAAGCCTGATGAAAGAAGGGATTCATATGACAAGCTTGGGAATTTGGGTTTTTATATTAAAAGCAACAGAAAGTCAATATGGGTTTATAAAGAGAGGAACACTATTTTGAAACTTGTGTTTTGGGAATTTCATTTCTCCATGAGCCAAGTGAAAGTATACAAGAGGGAACAAAGGGTGAAGGAAGAAAGGAGAGCATTCAGGAAGCTGACGGTGGTAACCTCATGTAAAACCAGGAGGGAACGCTACTCCCTGACAGTAGGAGTGGAGAGGAGAAGACTGATTTGAACAACATACAGAAGGCAGAACAGATAAGACAAAGTTATGAATTGGCTGAAAGGGACAAGATTAGGGAAAAGATTCAGACATGACTTTTAGGTTTCTGAGCAACTTGCAGTGATGGTTGTGCTATTAACCAAGAGAGCAAAGCCAGGAAGAGTATATTCGGGCTTGGGAAAAACAAAATGAGGAGTTCAATGTTGAACATGCTGGGGTTGAGGTGTCTAACACAAAACACAGTGAGAATGTCCAGCAAGCAGTTGTTTATACCTGTCTGGGCTCACAGAGAGATGTGGAAGGAAGAAGCATTGGAACTGGTGAAGAATGCCAAGGGAGAATCTGTAGAGCAAAAAGAAAAAGGAGTCACTCATACAGCCCTAGGAAGCAACAAAATATGAGTAGTTAAACAGGGAACACAAAGGTTGCAAAAGATACTAAGAAGGAATAATCAGAGGTAGGAAAGGAGTCCTAGAAACAAAGGAGGAGAGTATTTCAAGAAGAAGGAGTGATTAAAAAGTTCAAGCATGGCACAATCTAAGTAAAACAAGACCTGAAAAATATTCAGAACATTTAAGGACCAAAAGATGAGGGAGGGCCGTGGTAAAAGCTGTTTCAGGAAAGTGGAGGGAGAAGACAACAATCTGTCATCTTAAGAAGAGGTAACAGTCAACAAAGTCTCATTTTTACAGAAGCTTAGGTATTAAGTATGGTGGGACCAGATACTAACCAAGGTCTAGACAAGTATTGACCTACCCAGTAATAAGGCATGAATGTAATTGTTAATAATTTGTGATAAGTAGGAGAAGGATAGAGTAACAGGTAATCCAAAAGTGTAAAACAATAATGTATTTTTCACACAGATCCTCCATGCTTCTATGTTAGCATATTTATTATTAGACTTGTCCTACAATCGGTGGCCATAAGATCAAGAAAGGGGAAGGGAATTGTTCTGGAAGTTTGGGGGCAAAGGGAGAAATCACAAAACTGAGTCAAAAATTTGGTAAAACTCTCCAGCTTTCATGGATAACGGTTGATTATACATGCTGAATGACAGACAGGTATCAGACCTCATGTGGCCCCAAATATTCAAATTGCTTCAACATAGTCTCCTTGTTATTTTAATCAATTTTCTGTTAAATTTTAACAAAGACATAAAAAATCTTATGGAAAAAGAAGTTGAGGGTAAACGTAGTTTCTGTATTTCAAAATGCAATTTGCACCCTTCTATTGGGTAATAGGCATCTCAAGCCATGGTTTTTGCACCCTGTGTGAACCAGATAATTTGGCACACTAATGGTTTAACAAATCCAGGCTGATTGACTAAGGAATTCTTGGTGAGAGATGGGATGAGTCAGATAAGAGCCAAAAAATTAATTTTGCCTGCTAGACCCAGGCATTTTTCACATATTATTTGCTTTTACAAGGTTCTGTCACTTCTTTGTCTTATTTATCCCAATGACTTAAAATAACTCTGAACGAATACTCTATTGAGGGTGAATCAGCAATATCACGCTGCTTATGTGAACACATTTTAATGAATAGAGAAGTAAGCCCTTGGTATCTGGGAAATGGGAAATGCTTTACAGAGGAAAAGGGGGTCTGAGTATCAAATATTCATGTCTGTAATATCAATCTTTAATTTTATATCTATAATTTATTTAATCGATTTTTTCTTTTCAAAGCTCTCAAAGCCAGAAGTAACCGCTAAATGTTGTTAGAAGAAGTGATTATGTTATTTAGCTAATAAAAGAATGATTTATGGCAAACCAGTTTGGGAGGAATCGTTACAGAATCCATTTATCCTTGGAAGTTCTGTTTGACCAAGCACACTGGGTCAAGGCCATCTTTGAGTTGGGAATTTGTGTTCTTCTTGAGATGGATCCATCGTTCGTCCTTGCACTGTGAGCTAAACTTGGCACGGGCCGACACGTCTGGGTGTCCCAGTCATCCTACTTGGGCCAGAACTAGCCTGCCTTCTCTTTGCAGATTCACACCACAGAGCTGACACGCGGGCAGACTATCACTGGAGGACACACAGTAAAGGGGCCTTTATCCACTGAACAAGCTCTTTTTTGTCATTTCATAAGCGGAGCAAAGAAAGCCAAAAAAAGATATTGAGAAAAATGTAGAGGTTTTTTTTTTAATTGAATGACTCAGGCTTTTTTTTTCTTTCCTAGGTTCATTTGGCTGCTGATGTTACATTCTTGCAAGACAGACTAAAAGGCGACAGTGTGACAGAAATAGGAATAACATTTCTAAAAAAGCTAGATGAGAAAAAATATAGACGGAAAAAATGAAGACTATCATGCAAAATGCCTTTGGGTGGCAAGTTGAGGAGTTAATATTAGTTAAACATGTATAGCCATAGAAACTTTGAATTGCTTAATAGCATGTGCTGTGAAAGGCTTATAAATCAGCCAGATATTTGAAATGCAGGGCATGAGGATTTAAAGATTTTTTCTTTTGCTTATAAATCTCACATTTTCAATTTCGTGTCCACAAGATTTCACATACAAATAACTCCTTATAAGATAGCAAGCATGAATTCCACACATTACGGAATCCATCCTCAGAGAGTCTATTCATTTCATTTCCTTATGGTAATGAAGAAAAGGAACTACCAATACAAACAGTTGGTGTATTTATCTTTCAATGGCAAAATGGATGAAATAATCACAGCGGAGTTCACTGTAGATAGTTCCTATATACTGTACATTGCATTCCTTATATTTGATAGAAACAGTTCCATCTGTAACATTTTTTCATATTTCTGAGAAATTATGGATGTGGTTTTTCTTATTTATTAGCTTGGATTATAGCTTTAGCCTGCTGAAGCTACTCTCGATTTGTAATCCCCAAGGCAAGCTATTTATTTGGTGCTAAGTCTGAAACATTTAAAATTAGCATTTTAAAAATAATAGTTAATTTTAATTCATTTCAATTTATTCAGTTTTTAGATGGCTGGTATTTATCAAATTCCTTCCTTTTCTCATGGCTGATAGGCCAGGAAACCTCTAAAATGAGAGGTAAATAATGATCTTTGAGAATACTTTGTTACCCCCAAGCTTATTCACTTAGAACTTTTACTATCATTTTTATGCCCTAAAAATCTGCAAAGAATAGTTTGTGACCAGAACATATTTAAAATTCAAAAGGTCCTGGATTAAATAAACACTAACCTTCACCAGACTGTCATCACACGAGGAGAGCCTACAAGGAAGCCCAGGATCCGCTGGGCTTTGCAAAGAACTCAATCTACAAGTAAAAGTTACAATTAGCATGACACCATCGTTGAAAACCGAAGTAAGTGATACGGTAGTGATAGACATCAACTAGGACTCAGGAGCCTGAGGATCCAATCCCAGTTCTGTTCTGTTTCTGGTGCCTTCAGCTAATCCTGGCTAGTGGCGAATCCTGGGAAAGCACATAATTTCTCTCTCTCTCTCCTCCCCCCATCTTTAAAATGAGGGGATTGGACACGAAAATATCTAACACTATACCAGTGTGTTTAAATGACAGAAATTACCACTGAAATTCTATATATTTTGGACTTTTCTAGAAGACTATAGGAAAATTGTTCCCCATGCACCCAGGTCTCTCTACAAAAGGACATTGCAGTAGTCATAAAGGACCATAGAAGCCACTGGGGCAGCTACAGCATCAATGGAAGGACCTTCAAGCCTGTTCCACAGAAGTGAGGAGTAGAATCTGGAAGAAGAAAATATCTTGCATCAGAAGGGATATCATGATATCATGTATTTTAAGCTGATGCCTCTAGAAGGATGCCTGCCTACAATCTATCCCAAAGCTTCTTTTCAGGATTTTTCCATCTTCTGCTCAGTTGCCTGTTTCTCCTTTATAGTATACTCACCCCTCCAGGAACCCAAGACGGTCATGTCCAAGGGCCTTTTTCTTAAATCAGCACCCAGCTAACTCTCTTGAAAGTGTTCCATTACTCCTTGGAGTATTCTCTTATCTGTCTACACTTTCCTCTTCTTTCTCTCCTAATCCAACCATCAAAAATCCCTTGGCCTTATATCTTCATTACCTACCATCATAGGCAGCTTAATTTGTTATTTGCAGTGATGCCAAGTGTTGGAACCGGTGATGGTTTCAGGATAAGGTTTGTTCCCCATCCCTTGTTTTTCTTACCCTGGAGGGAGGGGAGTCTCTTGGCATTGAATGCATACTATGAAAGGTGAGCTATGACTAAGAGAATGGCTTGTTTATATTCAATAGGTGCTTCATCCTAAACAATGTGAGGATCTAGACAGTGCTATTCATTAGAATTATGAGAGCCATCTACATGATTTTAAATTTTCTAGTAACCATATTAAATAAGTAAAAAGAAACAGGTGACATTAATTTTAATAATACATGTAATTTATACTAGTTATCCAAAATATTATTTCAGCATTTATCAATATAAAAATTATTAATGAGACACTTTACATCTTTTTTTAATACTGTCTTTGAACTCCAGTGTGTATTTGACACTTATAGCCACTCTCAATCCAATGGAAAATTTTCAAAAGTCAAAGTGAAATGTAGTCCTACCAAAACAATAAAGTTGGGTTTAGTGTTATTTAACAGTTTCAGTTTCTAAATCTAAATTAATTGAAATTAAACTAAGTTTAAAATTCAGTCACACTAGTCACATTTTAAGTGTTCAATAGCCATGTGTGTCTAGTGGCTACTTAATGGACAGCACAGGTCTAGAATTCCCAGTCAAAGGTCCATTGGGTCTCCTTGACCTGTGACACAAAGAATGAATGGAAAGGGTCCAGGATTTTGGACAGGGAAAGAAGGGACAGGTAGAAAAGAAAAAGGCTAAGGAAAAAGACTGTCAGAGACCCATAAAATGTTCTCTCCACCAACTGAGTGGTGGCTCCTAGAAAAAATAAAGAAGGATTGCACATCATCCCCTGGGCTCCAAGTGCATTTTCATTGCCATTCTGTAGTTACATCTTTCTGATAAAGGACTTGAGGAAGTTGCACAGCATAACTAGAGATATGTAATATTTTTATTTCACAAAAGCCTTTACTCTGAACCCCAAACCTTGATCAAAGCAGAGATTTTTTTTTTATCATCTTAGCAAAGCCAAAGAGGAAGAAATGTTTGGGGCACAGAGAAAGTTTAGTGCTATTTAAATGACACCACCAGATGTTGCCCCAGCTATTTACTGAGGAGGTCTGCTTTCGTTGCCTGTTCACTATTTACAGTTGTCAGGAATCATAAATGTTAATACTTCCTTCAGCATCCTGTACACTTACTTATTGTCTTCTCATATCTCTCAGTTTCATTCATTAACTATTAGCAGCCTGGATCTCTTTAGCAGTTGGAGTGAACTATTGTGAATAAATGGAAAGTTTCCTCTTTTGTCTTCTATTTTTCCTTCTAGCTAGCAGCTCTGTTGCCACTGTATACTCATCTCTTTTCTTCCAAGGAATCTTCCTGCAACTCCTTGCCTTCTTTTTTATTCCTTCTTCCATTTTCTTTCTTTTAATTATGCTTCATGTAATAAGCATTTGTTGGCTTCCTATATCTTTCCCCCTTCTAATTAAACGACACTTTTCTGTTTAGGTTCCCACCATTTAATTAAGCAACATATCTAATTCAGGGGAAGTCGGCCCTATTCTCAGCTCCATTGCTATCCCCTAAGTACAGTAGCTCATTCCCAGTTTAAAACCACTTCGTTGCCAGCCAGATCTAAGCCAATCCACACATAGTATTCCCCAGACCACAATCATTGGTTCCGGCATGGTCCAATCACTGCAACTTTTATTCTATGGTTATGGAAAAAGTTCTCTCTCTCTCTCTCTCTCTTTCTCTCTGTCCCCCTTCCCCACCCTCCACACCAATATGTGGTTCTGGTTGCTGCTGACACATAGCACATAGGGAGGAGGACAAGAATGAATGAATTGAAGAGAATAAAAGCCCGCTCTGCCTCTGAAATTTCAATTACATGAGCCAATAAATTTACTGTATTCTTAAGAGAGTAGAGTTGGTTTTCTTTTACTTGCAGTCAACAGGATCCAAAATAATGCATTCTGCGAATCTCTCATCTCTATTAATAGCGATGCAACAAAATTCAATGCATGACAAATATGTGATAGGTCAAATCATTTACAATATATTAGAGAATACCAAATAGAATAAACTGTTTATTATTTCATATTTCACATGGTTGAATGCTTGATGAAATAAAACTTGGATTTACATAGCTCTCCTCCTCACAGAAAGGACAAATTTATAGGAGGGAGAGAATAGAAGCTTGCATTACAGTGTTCATCTACTCAGCACAGAAGACCCAGAAAAAAGGAGATTCCATAGGGAGGAGACATAGTTTTAAATCAGTGGTATCTCTTAAAACAAACCAAAACAAAACAAAAATTTATACATTTCAGGTCCTTACTTCAATTATTTCCACTGGAAACTTAAGTGACGTCAGGAGTCACTTGAGGAAGAGCAATCCTCTGATTTCAGGAGCTGCCCAATGGTATAAATCTTTCAAGCCAGCAGACTGTATTTAGTGATTTGCTATTTCTGTGTAGTGTATGAATCACATTTTGATAACTTAAAAGAACAAATGCTAATTCCCAATGGATACCAAGCAATAGAAGCATCTAGAAATGTTGGTTTCTTGGATTTGAATTTAATTAACATTTTTATCAGATGCCAGGCATATGTGATACATCATTTAATTTTCACAACAATCTGTGAGGCATTAAGTTTGCAACAGAGAGAAGGAGTTGGCTATGAAATTACAAAGGAACTAAATGTGCCAGTGCTTTAAGTGCATTAGGATGTGGGGCTGATGAGTGAAGGGAGTTGGTGATGGCTCCCAGGACTTGGGGGAGTGAGAGAAGGAGTAAATAATTAGAAAAGAAGCTAATAAGCTTGGAATACTTTGAGTTTTAAGTGGTTTTGAAACATTCAAACAATACCGGGAGCTTGGAAGAGAGGTCCGAACTGAAGATGGATTTTGGAGCCATCAGTGCATGGATAATAGTAAGAGCAGTAGATGTGGATGGCAACATCCAGGGAGACGATGGACTTGGGAAAATACAAGGGGCAGGGATAGAGTCTTGAGAACTACCACCATGCAAGAGGCAGCAAGGAACGAAGAGAACAAGTAAGGCCCAACTTCGGTCAGAGACGTAGATGGGAGAAACTGGTGGCACCGAAGCAGAGTTTCAAGAAGAATAGAGTGGTCAGAGGTGTTAGAAGCCACAGAAAAGCCAAGAAAGTTAGGCCAGAAAATGGATATTGGAATTGGCAATGAGAAGGTCTTTGCCTCAGAGCAATTTCAGGGCCGTGGTGGAGGCAGAAGCCTTGTTGCAGTGGATTGTGGAGTGAATGGGAGGTGAGACACTGTGCATAGATGATGCTTTTAAGGAGCTCAACTATAAATGGAAAGAGACATAAGATACTCAGTGCAAAGTAGGGCTGTTTGCTCTTTTATTTTTTTAAGAACGCAGTCACTTGAAAATATAGGAGAGAGGGAATAACTGATGCAGCAATGCCGTGAGGGGGTGGAGAAGGCAGGAGAAAGGTTTGACTCTGAACTGCATAAAGACAACTAATCCCTCCCCCTGAGAAAGACATGATGAAGTTGAGAGTGGACAGAGAAGGGAGTGGGATTAGAGGGGTTAGAGGAAAACTTCGATCCAGCTCGAAGCCGTTGGCCTCAATCTTCCCTGTGCAGCAAGATGCAAGATCTTTGTGGAGATGGAGGTGGGCAGAGG